ATACTAAGAAATACTTAGTACAATCAGTCCATGTGTATTATACAAAAGGTGTATAGTAAACTAATCCATAGAAAGGATGGATGGTTCAATGACTATGTCATTGGCATAAGTGTTGAGATCAGCACTACCACACTTCATAAGAAGTGGACGTATGGAAAGACTAAGGGAGCCGTATGGTCCATACCAAAGTTCATACCGACCAAGGTTAGGTCCGGGTACATTCTAAGTCCAAATCATCCATGGTGTGATGACCAATATGTTGGTTCAAAACGTGCTTATGACCTAAAGGTACTAAACTATCAAGGTGCATAGTTTAGAGGTCTTAAGGAACCAATGTAGTATAAATTGTACCTATACATCACCACACATAAGCCATGTTGCTATGGCAACATTAGGCACTCATTGGCGAGTTGTTGACATGTGTGGGTAAGGTCCATGACTACAATGTACTTTGGTACGTTGCTTAATATAAGAAGGTCATGGGACACCATCAAAGGAAGTATGGTATGTGATGTTTAAGTACAAAGGTTATAGTGTGGGACTTGAATGAAGGCACGACCATTAAGCTTTGTATTAATGGATTAAAGAAAACTATAAGAGTCCAAAAGAGTGACCAAAAATAGGCATGGTTAAGACCTAATAGATATGGTATTGCTAAAGGCAAGAAAGGTCGATAAGTCATGTTTAAAGGTCCATGAGCATTTGCTGCAGATCCATGGTTGGATGTGATCATAATATTCATTGCAGCAACTGATGAGGTAACTCATAGGTTATGGACGTGATAGTTAAGGTCTATTACTTAGCATGAACTTACCCAAAGGATAGGAAAAGATATCGACCATAATGGACAAGGCCATTAGCTCATACATTTGATATATGACCAAATGGACTAGGCGTGTCCATGGGAACCTAAGGTTGGTTCATATATGTTTTGGTCTATGACTCTATATAGGATGTCCACGAAATGGCTATGCCATATGATCAGTGGATCCGTGGGACATAAAAGGACATTAGATGGGCCTGCAAACA